CTTGGCTTGAGAATTAGTTTTGTAAATACCTGGTGAAGTGTTTGGGAATTAAAATGAAATGTTGGTATAATTTCTTCCTTGCTCACATACAGAGTTTGTAATTCTCTCTGGTTCTCATGTTGCCCCACGTGAGTTGCTGAATGATCTCAAGGCCTTCTGCCTGCCGTTCTGAGCACAGTTATTTTCTATAGCCTGGTCATGGTACTGATTACATTTAATTATTTGTCTGTCACTTGTATTTCTCTCCTCTCTGTATAAACTCCTTGGGCATAATAATGCCTGTTTAATGTCCTCAAGGGCTTTCCACAATGCCTGGGGATTAGTAAACATTTGTGGGATTAAGCAGTTACCTCTCCCTGCCCTCCCAAAACCCAGTATAGCTTTAAAACCAAGACCCACTGTCTCTACCTAGTATGCCCATCTGGCTTTACCATTCACAAGATTTCTTGTCAAAAAATTCTACTCTATTACATGTTTCATCTCTTTTAAGTTTCTTAACATCCCAGTAAGTCTCTCAAAATCTCTTCCTCCCTCTCTCTCTCTTTTCCTTTGGTTGTTTTTGGATCAGAGCTCCTGTTTTTTCGCCCAGGCTGCCTGGATCGTTATCCTCCTATCTACACTTAATGCTTCTCCACATAACTGGAATGACAAGTAGACACCACCACATTCAGTTACTGGTTGAGATGGAGTCTCACTAAATCTTCCCCTCCCCGACAATTCTCCTGACTAGTATGGATTATAGACACACAGCACCATACCCTGCTTCCAGTTTCTCACTCTATCTGGAATGGAGTGCACTTCAATACAAGAGGACATAATTCTCATGACTATCAAAAGCCATATGGAATTAAAGTTCTATATTTACCAGAAGTTCCCAGGAAGTAAAAAGAACTTTATGGGAAGGTTTGGACAGGGACTCACATATGTTCAGCAACAGTTCCCAGAACACCCTGCTTTTATGAGACGTTTACTTAGCATTTAATTGGCTGTTTTAAAAACATACTTCACTTTTTTTAGAGGGAGATGATAAATAAAGATCATTTTAAAAATTTTAGCTGTCTGATATGCAGGTGCTTCACCCAAGTCAGCTGATTCCTAGGACATTACCATTTCTAAAACAATAAATGAAATGTTACAATTTCTCTGCATAATACTGGAACAATGAAATTTTCAACTTAATGATTGATTATCACAAGCCCCAAACTATATTTTTCACTGCTTTAAAAAAAATTTCCATTTTAGGGTACATTCTGGTATACCAGTGATGGTTTGTTCACTTATTTTGTGACCTACTGCAAACAAACTGGGCCAGGATTTTTCAACAAACCTAAGCTATCATAAGATATTCACTTGTCCTGCTGTAGAATCCAGGGTTATCACCTCTTTCTTCATGCTTCTGCTGTCCAGACAAATTCAAATTAATTTCCACCAGTTTATTTATTATCTTTGCTATAACTATACACAATTGCCCAATATATACTTGACTTTCTTATATTGACCCTTATAATCCTGTTACTGTATTATTTACACATTTCAACCTTTTTCCCTCTGAAATAGGGATGAAAATTTGCTTTGCCACAATTTTAAGTATGATTGAGTAGGGTTCACCTTCCCATTTTCAAGTGGCTTAATAATATGAAATCTTCAAAACAACATATATTTTCAGAGACAGCACATGATTTATTGCACTGATTACTATTTATCCTGCCTATCCAAGGGTGAACCAGGAAGATGAACTTTTCAGAGCAACATAACACTTTTTCTTAGATAAATCTTTTCGACTTTCATGCAGCTACATATTTTTGCCACAGAGAAGAAAATAACCATATTTACTTTCATATTCTCTCCTCTTCTTCACAAGCTTCCCTCTTTGTAATACATTTTAAATTAGAGATCACTTACCTACCAATGAATACCACTGAAGATCCTAATTTCAAAATGGTCTTTAAGTTCTGAAGTAAAAGTCTATAGGTCCATGCATCAAAAAATATTCTACAATGCAGTAAGAGCACCTTTGAGTGCTTACCCAGAGACTCCACATTTTGTGCTTTAATTGAGGATAGCAAATGGTTACATATCTTTCATAAGGGAAGAGAGTGTTCCTGAGATAAATGAGTCCAGTGATCCAGGAGAAAAGGGAACAATCACAAGGACATTTATTTTGCTACCTACTAAGCTTAGGGCTTTATAAGTCCTCTAACTTAATCTTGATTAAATAAAATGTGAGTATAAGCATCTCCAGATAAGGAATTAACAAGGAGTGGGAATTCAAAATCAAGGTGATCGGTTATTCTTTTCTCTATAGTACAATGAATAGCAAACGTCATGGAAAATCACCTCCCTTAGTTTGCTCATCTGTAGGAATAATGTAATCCTTTTTTGTTGTTGTTATCCTGTGTTCCATGATTCTTTATAATTTGGGGTGCTAATAACGATCTTGATTCATTAAGGAAAAATCCCCTTTGAATATTTAAAGGAATGAGCTGCATTTAGCTGAAAAAAAAAACAATCTCTGTAGATTAGCTCATTTTTCAAATAAGGGCAATAAAAAGTTATGATTTTTTTTCTTCTTCTTTGAGCAAGGTAAAGGTACAGGAAATATTTTACTATGGGGCTCCATTATTTTCATGTAGTAGGTATCTCCAGATAACAGGCCCAACAAAATACACATATACTCATTGTGGAAGATTCCAAATGGAACTTTTAAATCCTTAATCATTAAGCTATATTCAAAACTTTGTTTTTCTCCATCTATTCAACTTTTATTAAGTGCCTAATCTGTTCATGATACTGACATATATGTGTATATATATATATATTCACAGATATAGATGAATAAAAGTAGCTAGAATATTAAATACATATATCAAATTTTAAGGAGTACATAGGAATAACCAGGAGACTGTATTTCAAGTGAGATGAATGCTTATAAATAAACTGTTTCATATCCTGTTTTGTGAAAGGAGATTGAAAACACATGCAGATTATACACTGATTTCCATAAAATATTGTATCCACCCAACAATTAAAATTGGAGGATTGACTCTTCAAAGCTCATTTTACAGACATGTCCATTTACATTCCAATATTGTTTCTTACCATAAGGTTCCACAAGCTCAAGCAGAATTTTATGCAATGAGCTTACACAGTTGCATAATTTTATGCTGACAAGACAGTGGATCAAAACTCAGAGAAATAATGTAGTGCATACATGACTGGCAGCTGCTAGGATCTGCTTTGGCTAGGCTTTCTTCAAAATAAGGATCAGTTGTCAAAGCGAGATATGCACAAAGTGTTTTCTATGACTTTAAACTGGAACAAAGAGGAATGCTATATGACAAACAGTAACTGGCCCATTATGGCAATAGGTACTGAGGTAAGCTTTTGTTTGGTTGCTTGGTTTTGGAACAATGATTATCTGAAGATGAAATCTTTTAAGTGCCCAATTAATATTTCTTTAGCTTACCTCTGTAGTCTTTTTTCATGTTTACTGTACTGTAAATAATACAGCGTGCAGTTATAAAGTTACTTTTACATGCTGCCTTGAGAAAAATAATCATTTCAAGCATAAGTATTTAAATAGTATCAACTCTATGGCATATAAGCCTAGAAACATGGAATTGTTAGTTACAAAAATGATCTTGTCAGAAGTTTGTGACAACCTACCATATTTTAATGAAATTTACTATGGATCCAACATCCCACTCAAATGCAAAAGATTCTTGATATTTTCAAAGGTTATAATTATTATTTTTTTAGATCAAAAGCCCAAAAAGTAAAATATTAAAAATGTTAAAATATTTAAAAGTATACCAATGGCCACAAGGAAATTAACTCCACATTGATTTTCAAATCTTGTATCAACAGAACCAGATTCTTCACTCTAACAACACAGACCTATTTAATTTTTTTTTTTTTTTTTAGATACTGGGGCTTGAATTCAGGGCCTACACTTTGAGCCACTCCACCTGCTCTTTTTTTATGATGGGTTTTTTTTCAAGATATGGTCTCACAAACTATCTGCCTGGGCTGGCTTTGAATCATGATCCTCCTGATCACTGCCTCTGGAGTAGCTAGGATTACAGGTGTGAGCCATCAGCACCTTGTAACCTTTTAAATTTTTATTTCATGTTTCTAATAAGGCTTCAAACATAATAGCTTTAAAGGCAGGGTTAATTTATTTGTGGAATATTGCTTACTGAGAATTGTTGCCAAGTGATGTTAATCATTACCCAGCCGTTAATGAAGCATTTATAATAGGTTAAATAGGTTATGGGGTTGCATTCTTGTGCATCTGAACATGGGAACGGAAGTCATTGGAAGGGAATTATTAGAGTAGATAAGAGAGTTGACTAAACTGGACAAAATTAAAAATGATGGGAGACATAGTCAAAACACAAGATCACACTTCTTCTATTTAATAATCACTACCACATAAAGAGTGTTATGGATTCCCTACCATTATATTAGCCACTCTCCTACTGAAGTTTGTGTAACTGAGAGGAGCTAAGGCACAGTTAAAAGTGTAGGCTTTAGAAAGAAGGGAGATCAAACTATGGCTCAACTCCTTACTACCCATGTGATCCTGGGCAATGGATTTAAACTTACTCTGCGCCTCACATTAGTTTTCTATAGAACCAGGTTAATCCTTTTTTTTTTTACAATTAGTCTTTCTCATAACTAAATGAAATGCAATGCTTTGCCCCAGAGATTATCACAACCAACTTAAAAGGAAATGTTTATACTTTTGTCTAAATACTAATGGGGTGATCACTTAAAACATTAGTTTGGATTCTTGCAGCAGAAACCTTATCTTACTCATCTTTATATTATGTAATTCCATAAAGCCTAACACAAAATATTATGGCTGAATGATGTAAATTATGGTATCTACAAGGATATTCAAATCAGATCCATTGCTAAGTCCTGTAACTTTTACTCCTCTTAATCACCAGAACCTGAGTCCAAGCTCCTCACCTGCAGCAGTTTCCAGATAGAACAGTACTTACTCTGGCTTTCTCTCAGTCTTTCTTTTCAAGGTAAAGGGACCTTTTCAAAGTGAAAATTAACCTATTACACTCTTACGAGTTTCAGGATGCCTAAGATAAACACAAAATCCCCAACCTGGTCTAGAGAGTACTCTGTGATCTGTTTCCTACCCACCACCAATCTTATATCAAACTGCCTTCTCTTATCTTTCTCCCTTTTTCCTCCACATTGGCTTTCTTTCAGTATCTCATATTCTTAAATCTGTCTTGCTCTGGATCTGCCTAAAGTATTCTGTAGCCAACCTTCAGCTTAGGTGCTAATCACCTTTCTTCCCTTAGGGAAGCCTTCTCTGTCCTTTGTGTAAGTTCTTTACAGAAGAATGCAACTCTCCTTCAGATATTCAATTTTCATTTCATTATGCTATTCTTTAAGGAACACCTATGTATTTTCCTAACTAAGATATTGTCTTCACAAGGAGAAATGTTTGTTTTCCCCTCCCCAGGTGCCTTGAGAATACTCAAAATTTTGTTGATTTTCGTAAAAATTAATATTAAGAAACTATTAAAATACATGTCGATAGTACATGATTTAGAGAAATGTGATAATTATAAAAATAAGTACAGAGAGTACTTACTGACCTATCAAGTGAAATTAAATAAAAGAAGAACATGCAAAACTTAATTCTTTTTCCAAGTTTGAAAATAAATTCTCTCACACTTAGAACTTCATTTCTTTCAGGTTGGAAGCACATGCTAATTTCATAGCAGACTTTTTCTTTCTAGGACCAAAGGCTGTGAGGAAGCTTTGCAGGACAATTGAAGTACAGCACAATACTGCATGTATCCATGAAATACAATCATCTGCACATCTAAAGGGCTTTAAAAGCAGGATGGCTTAATAAGAGTATTTTTACTACAATTCTAAGTTCTTATCAAATAAATATCACACCATCTGTAGTGAATGCCTGAGTGGCAAAAAGCTGTGCTACAATTTACTTTAAAAAGAAATAAATGCACTTAAGAGGAATAGAACTGAGTTTCACTGACCCTTCATTACACGGCAATATTGAGTGAGATGTTAGTGGTATTATTCTATGTGCAATTTTAGAACTATACATTACTTGTCACATACTTAGCAATTGCAGAATATTAGGTAAGAAAGAAGCTAGAAGAAAGAAGTTTCTCATCTTAAAATGTAAAAAAAAAAATCAGAGGTTGCAGAGATTTGTTATTAATAGTGGAAAATATAGCCACAGACATAAGGAAAATATCTTTTACTGGCTTTTTAAGAAATTAAGCAAGGTGACTTGAAATGAAACACCTCCAATGAATTCTATCTTGGAGATCTCCTTCAGGAATTATCATCAGCCCAGCCTCTGGCTAGGATGGCCTTCTCCCTCCTATAAAGTTAAACTTTGGGAAATTCAAGGCCGGAGGGAACCTACACCGGAGTAAAGACACAGCGCTATGGATCCTAGACACCTGAGAAGGTTTTCATTCCATTTTCCCCTGAAAGCTCCAGGGCAAGTTATAAGAGTAACTCACCTGGATAGAGACCTGAGCCACGGAGGCTGTGTGCGGCAACGCGAGGCTCTGCAGGGCACTACCCCGCATACTGACCATCGCCTGGCCCGGCGGCACTCGCGCCCGAATTTTCTCTCCATTCAGAGTACAGCCCGGGCCTTCCACCATCGCCCTAGCAGGTACTGCGGCCCACTAGCCGCAAAGCTTGATAAGACTATTGGGCAATTAGCTTAACTTTCGCGCCGGCACTGACTCCACCGAGAGGAAGTTCAAATCTCCCGCGCATTCGGCCCCGCCCAGGCCCCGCCCAGGCCCCGCCCAGGGAACCAACCCTGTGGCGGGCTGCGGCTCGCCTCTGGCGCATGCGTAGTGTCTCACGTCTCTGCCGCTCCACTTTGAATTTTCAGGAAACGCTCGCGCAGGATGAGTGGCATCAGCTGAATGGGCTGAACTGTAAGAACAGAGGAAATTGGAAATTGAGAACTTCCAAACTTACTTTCTTTAATGTTTTGCCTTTCTGTTTGAGCTACTGGGTCAACGCACATTTTCTGATCTGATTCTCTTAACCCTAAAATCCAAAGTTGTCACAGCCATGCTGGCTGCCCCATGTGTTTTGTTGTGTATCCTACTCATATGTGGGTGAGAAGATAAAGACCAAGTTGAAGTTTTATAGAGCAAATAGGTTTACATTTTTTTCTCCTCTAGGCTTAGAATGTCTTTTTAAAAGAGGGATTTCTATGAAAAATGTATATTATTGTCTACATGTAAAAACCTCATCACTTTTAAATAGCTAAATGAACTCTACTCAAAACTGTGCATATATTTTGTTATGGAGTGTCGTGAGGTGAATGCTGTGAGATATCTTTGTAAAAAGTAGGTCTCTATAAATTTGAGAGCAATGCATAGCTTTTCAAATTTACCAAGAAACCTAAGCAAAGATGAAGACAAACATGACGCTAATGACTTCATACAATTTTACAAATGATGAAGAATTTGTTCCTTTTTTATTTGAAATATGCTGCATTAAAACCCTGTCAGTTTGTAAGTGACCTTGTAAAAGCACAGTACTGCACTGCATTTAAACCAGATTATATACATATATATACATACATATATATATCGACACACACATATACATATGAGATTTAAATAATCAATGGCTTGAATCTTAATGGGGAATGATTAGTGGTCAAAGTTGGCTAGATCAGGTTGGGTACTACTTGTATTTTACTTCCTTATTCAATTTTTATTTACTCTTTAAGTAATCATGAAAAAAATCTCATTGCCTCCAACTTGAGTTATATTCTCTGCCCTTTGATAAAGGAAAATCCTATGTAAACTTTTCACTTCCATCTTTGGATTTTTTATTGATATCTCATTTGTTATTTCATGGTTTCCGTCAGTCAGGATTTGGCGATGATCTAGCTGGGTAGTTCTGTATTAGCATATCTCAAGAGATTGTAGTCAAGATGTTGGCCAGGAATGCAGTCATCTAAAGATTTGATTGTAGTTAGAAGATCCACTTCTGAGGTAGTATGCCTGTACAACTGGTGACAGGAAGCCTCAATTCTCATCTTAAGTCTCTTTCTGAACTTCTGGGCTGTTCTCATTCACAGTAGCTGACTTTCCTGAGTGTGTGATCTTAGGGAGAACTCAAGAGAGATGCTGCAAGGCATTTATGGTCTGCTCCGTCCATTTCGTGCTGCTGTAACAAAGTACCTGAGATGAGGTTTACAATGAACAAAAGCTTATTTTTCATGGTTCTGGGGGCTGAGAAGTTCAAGATCACATGTCTAGTGAGGTACCAGTCTCTGCTTCCAAGAAGACACCTTGAATGCTCCATGTTCTTTAAGGACAATAATTTGTGGACGTATTTTCAAACTGCTGAAATCTTCATTTAAATGATTCATCATGATTACTTCATTAAAAAAAAAAAGATTTTCTCACCATCACAAGAAAATCTACTCTAGTGTAGGCTGTAGGTACTTTTTTTCTAGACCATTTCAGTAACCTCCTAACCACCTTACTCTTTGTACTTTCAGATTGTTGCCAGATAAATCTTCATGATTTCTTTTTAAGCACAGTTTACTAACTGATAGCTTTCCATAAATAATTTATTTACTGTAAAACTCACTTATTCATCTGTACAATATTTAATATTTTATTGTGATGGTTGGAATGTGGTTTGTCCTTGCCAAAACTTGGTTAAAGCTGAATTCCACAATGAGATAGTGGGGCTGTTAAGGGATTAGGTCTTTAAAATAATGCTGCCTCGCAGAAGTTCTAGATCTCATGGGACTAGACTAGTAATTTTGAGAACTGGTTGTCATGAGACTGGCACCTCTCCTGAATTTCTCTTCAGCACACAATTGCACATTTGCACATGTTCCTGCCATGTGATTGTATCTGTCATGTTAGGACATAGCCCTCACCAGATGTGGTCATATGGGGTAGCCTCCAGAGCTGTTACTCAAAATAAAATTCTTTTCTTTATAAAGTACCCAGCCTCAGTTTTTTTTTTATTATATCAACACAAAATAGACTAAGACATTTTCCTATAAACTTCATTATGGTTGATCTGTATGTGAAAGCAATTTGAAAAATATAAAAAACTACAAATTCAAAGAATTGAGATTAATTGCACTTGCTATTCTCAGAATATACTTTGCACTTTTTGTATCTTCTTTCATGTTATTATTCTAACCTTTGATATACACCTTCTTTTCATTCCAGTTTCCTGAAATTCTCCCAATGTTTAAGGCCCAGTTGTGTGTATATCCTCTTTATAAAAAACCTTCTAGATGCAGTCAGTTAATCTCTTGTATTATGTAGTTGGTCCTTTGGGAAACCCACCTAAGGAAACTTATATTACAGTTATTTGTATACATACTGGTCTCCTGCTAGACTCGACTCTCATTGCTTCATGCCAGCATGGTGAATGTAACCTTGATGTGTTCCTGAGGAAATTGGGCCAACCATATGTGCAGTCATTGTGGACATTATTTTATATGCATTTATCTTCACAATAACCTTTTATGATAACCAGAATAGGTCTTATCATTAGTATTTTACAGATGAAGAAACTGTATTTCAGTTGTCATTTTCTATGATTATATATAGGGAAGAAGGGAAATATAGAAGAAGAATCCAAATTTTATGATCCCTTGATCAGGGTTCTTTTTCCTAAAAATACAGGTAATGTCTAAAACTTGGAAAAAATAGCTTACTCCAAGTAGCCAATATGCAGCATATATATGTTACTAATGGAAACAGTACAGAAAGGGCATAAGAATTTGCCAAATGGGTGGGAGCTAAAAAAAATGTGAATTTTACTTCCAAATATTTTCATTAGTGAAAAACATGCTTCAAGCAGGTATAGTGGTTCATACCTGTAATCCCTGCATTCAGGAGGCTGAAGAAGGAGAATCGCACATTAAAGGCCAGCCTGAGCTACATAGTGAGACCTGTCTCAAAATACCAAAAAAAAAAAAAAGTTCTCTGTGAGGCACAGAGCCAGGATCTGAGGGTACAAAGTGCCATAGAGGAGCCGTTGTACACAAAGAAATCTCAAGGTAGTTAGAAGTAATGGCATCAAAAATATAACAAAAGGAAAACAGATCTCATGTACAAAAAAGGATAGAGATTTCTAGGGGAATTCAATGAAGAACAGTAGCATAGTGATGCTCGAGGAGAGGTGGGAACTGAGTGGCTGCCTTAAGAAGTGGGGAGCCAGGGAAAATAAAAGGTCAACTAAGGAATTTCTTAGTAAGGTAAATGCAGGAAAATATGTGATATATTTGGGACACACTGATCACTGAAGTATTGGCAAGAAGGGAAGTAAATATGGAGTTATCACAGAGAAACCCCCTCATATTATTAATGTATATCAAAAATAAAATGAAAAAGAATGGAAGTAATACTAGATAATATTGGAAAGAGTACTAGGAACTATATTGTACAGAATATAGGATAAGGAAAAGAAGAATTCATTTTCCTGGGATATCAGTCATTAATGAAATTTTGAGCAGATCCCAAACTCATGACTTCACAATACTTACTTAAAACATGCTTATTTACTGAATCTGGAATCCATATTTACTAAATGTACTAAACTGAAATCCAAAACTCCATTCAGGTTATGAGAGGAAACCAAAGCTGTGGTTTGGATCAGTATTTGTTTAATCTTCATTAAACATAGTTGTTGATGGTAGGTGGGTACTGTTTCCTGCATGAGCCTGAGTTTGTAATGCTTTGAAGTGTCCTTAGTACAGAATTTCCCTGTTTTCTCTAATAATTATCTCAGATTCTTAGTGCTTCCTTGTGCCAGACAATGCTGAAAGTGTTTTGCAAATGTTCTCTTTCCTACCTCCCAGTGATCTGAGGCTTGAACTATTAATGTCATTCTCCTTTTATAAATTGAAGGAACTGAGGCACACAGAGGCTAAATAACTTGTTCAAGGTTTCAGACTTGGGAGTCAACCAGGCAGGCTGTAAGTACTAGCCAAGCATTTTCAGCATCAATTATGTTACATGGGCTCACAATCAATTATTTTTAGCAATAACTTAAGAAGCAATGGTTTAGAGGAAAAGAAAATCTTTGAGTCAATGTCATATGGGAATTAAAGACAGTCTAAAAATCTTCCTCAGCATGTTATGTTTTGACATATTTTGGATTATGAAACTTTGTTGATATCCTTCTCCTTACAAGGTCTGTGAGAAGATTTTTGGCTGGAATGATAAAATATAGCATGGGAGGATTTTCTTTAATTTCTTTGTTGTACCTAAATTACCTGACTATATTTAAGAAGTACAGAGGTACATTTTCTCTCAAAGCCATCTTAATTACAGCTTTGAATTGAGAAAACCTTCTTTAGTGAGCATTGGATATAGATGTTTTCAGAGGTACTTACTAAGGAATCTTCAGTTTCTAAGCATTTAAAGAAACTTTTAACATCAGACTACCAGAAGAATAATAAAATGCCCAGCAACTGAAGCCAATTTTATAGTTTGTTGTTTGCAACATATACCAAATGTTGGAACTTAGCAAATCAGTTGGTTTTGTCACATCATGAAGGTTGGGGAGTGCCCAGGTGACAGTTTTCAACTTGCAAAGTCAGAATAGAACCTTCGAAACCAACCATGCCCTCCTGATCCAAGAAATTTCTCTG